GTTACAAAAGGCACAACACTGTCACTCTGTTTTTACTGACATGTAACATTTTATTTCACCTTGCTCTATGTTTTTTAACGCACATTCAAAAACGGGAACATTTTCGCGAGTTAAGGTGAAATAAAATGTTACATGTCAGTAAAAACAGAGTGACAGTGTTGTNATTTTTTATATTTTATTGTAATGTAGAGACTAAAGGCTTTTAGTGACAATCATGTATTGCGTTACAATTATATGTAAAAAGAATAAAAAATAAAAGTCCAATATGATATTTGGCCAGTGGTTCCCAACGCCCCCCAGGTTGGGAACCACTGACTTAGATCATGTCTGTTGATGCATTTGGGTTTCAAAAGTCAGGAGGTTTGTGATATCATTCTGTTGACTTGTAATGTGTTGTATTGAAACATCACAGGCTCGAAAAAGTGCCTGCAAAACAATAATGTTTCACAACTTATATGAATGACTGTACAAAGAACGAAGAAAAAAACCCGGATGTGTGACATCATTGTCTGCGGACACAGTGATGTGTTTAAAGAACCGGAGGCTGAGTGTGTGGCACCAATTCACTCTGTTGTGCTATTCAGCCTCTTCACAAGGAGAAACTGAAGACACTCACACACATTTATCAACAAAGTGACTAGGCACGGTTGTCTGTCTAAATGTGTGTGTGTGTGTGTGTGTGTGTGTGTGTGTGTGTGTGTGTGTGTGTGTGTGTGTGTGTGTGTGTGTGTGCGCGTGCGTGCGTGCATGTGTGTGTGTGTGTGTGTGTGAGTGAGTGAGTGTGTGCATGCATGTGTGTGGGAGAGAGAGAGAGAGAGGGAAAAAGGTGAGATGAAGAGAGTATTCCAGAGGGCTTAGGGGCATTTCACAATGTTGAAGGGGTAGGTTTTCAATTACAGTGTGTGTGTGTGTTCACATGCTCTATGACAAACCTCTGAGCCACGTTCACCTCTCTGTCTCTGCACTAGCTGCCATCATGCAGCAACACGCACTGTTTATAACTGACAGGATCACAGACTACATGGTTTGTTTTCTCCTTAGTGTGGGACATGAGCCATAAGTATGTTTAGACATCAGTGTGATTACAGGAGATCCCTGCCTTCTATAATCTGTACCACCAGGTCGGAAAAAAACTGCAGCATTATTTGTTAACTAAAATAGACTTGCTTAAGTGTTNTTCCTCCCGCATCCGGGTTTGCGGGGCGGCCGGCTGGAACCGCTTGCCGACTGGGGAACGCCACCTGCAGCTTAATCCGCAAGACTGCAGAGCTGATGAATAATGCCTGGAGCTGGGACGAAGCCCTGCTGCTGCTTGTGCGTTGACACCTGAAATGACAACTGACGGAGAGGGGAGAGCGGATTTAAAGGGGTTAGCAGGTGCGATGATTGGCTAGCCGGGGCGTGATGCCCCTGATCACTTATTGAGATAACGTGTGGCACCCGATAATGTTATCTTCCTGATTGAACTTGTGCTGAGCTACATTAGTCAAATGTGCCAAGAAACCTGCATTAAATGTCGGTTAAGCATTACTGGTTTTGGTTATTTTGACACCAGAACATCTTTACTTTTTTTGCAGTGCACACATCTTAGATAAATAGGCACTTTTTGGTCCTGAAAATGCCTAATGAGAAAAAAGAACTCTTTAAACTCATGTAAATCTCTTCCTAAGCAACTTTCTCCTTATTTCTACTTCCAACATCAACCTCACGCTGCTTCCCACCAGGTTGATTCTACATTATTATTCACCAATTTCAGCTTTCTTTCTGTTCACAGGGGAAGGGTGGCGGCCTCCTGCTGTCAAATTATTTTACTGAATGTAAAAAATAGATTTTTATTCCAAACTTATCTTGTGGTATACTTTTAGCTTCAGGAAATGCTGTTTATCGCTTGTAGCGCTCATTCACACACTGCTGAATGGGTTTGAAGTATTTGAATGAGCCTCTTTATACTTACTTAAAAAACTCTCCCCAGCTGAAATCTTACTCAGATCTTTTGCATTACTTTCCTGTTTACCAGTCTGTATCCATGGCACACGCTCACTATACGCCCATACTGTAGAGCACCATGTGTATCTCTGACTCACTGTAGTAACAAAGTTCACCCACTGAGAAATGAATGTGGAGTTACACACGCTTACTCATCTCGGCTGCACAAATGTACTGTGCTATGTTTGCCTATTCAAACACCATCCAAATGTGCTTCATACACATTCATTTAGCTCCAAATTAAAGCTCAAACATTCAAAAATAGCACTAAAGAGTTGCTGACATTAACTTGTGCTCCATGAACATAAGATGTTCAAACATTTTCAGATCCCAGTCCAGAGGTAGAGTTCACAAACAAGCAACTAACTTGTGCTAATGCTGACTGTAAATAACAAAACTCTAAATTGTGCTGTACTTGCATCACCTAAGACCATAAACAGAGCCTGATGTCTCATGATGGTGAGGTTGGACAGTAACGTCCTAATGTCCCGTAGATACATTGGTGTCATATTCTAGCTGCAAATCAGAGCCTTACTGATCAATGTTTCAGTTTTAAAGGGGCTAATTTTCCGGTTTCATATTTGCATTGTTCTACTGAGACATGTTTACATGCTGTAATTTTCAAAAAGGTCTTTATTTACCTCATTCCGCCCATGTACAATCGCGAGTGTTACATAGTGATGTCATTATTTTATATAAGTAAACAAAGGAGTCCAATGGAAGTGTTTCAGACATAGTGTGTATGGAGAGAAACTCCCTCTGGAGGGAACTTTGGTATTTATGATATGGCAGCCCATTAACATGCACAAAAACCTATATAACACACTACAGGAAATGGAACAACCCCAAAAAGCATGATAGGGCCCCTTTAGTCAGACACATCAGCAGAGTGTCACACCTGCTGCTCAAACCTGCATGAAATGTACACAGATTTACTTATTCTACACCCATCTGCTTGTGCATAAACAGACCATATATGGTAAGAAACATTCCTTTAGTGGAACTTGTTTCCCCAACTGCATGTGCAGTGCATCCGGAAAGTATTCATACCCCTTAACTTTTTTCACATTTTGTTATGTTACAGCCTTATTTAAAAATGGATTAAATTATTTTTTTGATTGCACCTGTCTATATGAGGTCCCACAGTTGACAGTGCACATCAGAGCACAAACCAAGTCATGAGGTCCAAGGAATTGTCTGTAGACCTCAGAGACAGGATTGTATCAAGGCACAGATCTGGGGAAGGGTACAGAAAAATGTCTGCAGCATTGAACGTCCCAACGAGCACAGTGCTCTCCATCATTTGCAAATGGAAGATGTTTGAAACCACCAGGGCTCTTCCTAGAGCTGGCCGTCCAAACCAAACTGAACATTGGGGGAGAAGGACCTTAGTGGTGACCTAGAACCCGATGGTCACTCTGACAGAGCTCCAGAGTTCCTCTGTGGAGATGGGAGAACCTTCCAGAAGGACAACCATCTCTGCAGCACTCCACCAATCAGGCCTTTATGGTAGAGTGGCCAGAAGGAAGCCACTCCTCAGTAAAAGGCACATGAAAGCCCCCATGGAGCACCTAGAGGACGCTCAGACCATGAGAAACCAAATTGTCTGGTCTGATGAAACCAAATTTGGCCTGAATGCCAAGCATCATGTCTGGAGGAACCCAGGCACCGCTCATCACCTGGCCAACACCATCCCTACAGTGAAGCATGGTGGTGCAGCATCATGCTGTGGGGATGTTTTTCAGCGGAAGGAACTAGGAGACCAGTCAGGATCAAGGGAAAGATTAATGCAGCAATGTACAGAGAGATCCTTGATGAAAACCTACTCCAGAGTGATCTGGACCTCAGACTGGGGCGAAGGTTCACCTTTCAACAGGACAACGACCCTAAGCACACAGCCACGATAACAAAGGAGTGGCTTCGGGACAAGTCTGTGAATGTCCTTGAGTGGCCCAGCCAGAGCCCAGACTTGAACCGGATTGAATATCTCTGGAGAGATCTGAAAATGGCTGTGCACCGACGCTCCCCATCCAACCTGATAGAGCCTGAGACGATCTGCAAAGAAGAATGGGAGAAACTGCCCAAAGAAAGGTGTGCCAGGCTTGTAGCATCATACTCAAGAAGACTTGAGGCTGTATTGGCAGCCAAAGGTGCTTCAACAAAGTATTGAGTAAAGGGTGTGAATACTTATGCACATGTGATATTTGAGTGCTTTATTTTAAAATGTTTTTCACTTTGTCATTATGGGGTATTGTGTGTAGAATGTTGAGAAAACAAATGAATGTAATCCAAATTGAAATAAGGCTGTAACATACAAAAATGTGGAAAAAGTGAAGGGGTCTGAATACTTTCCGGATGCACTTAGTTAGGGAGGGAGAATTGTCACTTTCAACAGTGATCTGCCAGTACAGTGTTGTCTAAGGCAAGGCAAGTTTATATACAGAGTACATTTCAACACAAGGCAATTCAAACTGCTTTACAAAGATAAAAACATTAACATATACTGCAGCAGAAACACATATAATACATTTAAAAACAGTCATTAAATAGGCTAGTTCCTCAAGCGGAGGACCTTGGTTCGAAACTGGCTCGGGACTATTTCCCTCATGTTACCCCCTCTGTCACGCATTTCAACTCTGTCTCTACAAGAAAGGCACAAGTTGCCCAAAAAATATTTTTAAAAATAAATAAGGCCAAACAAGCTTAAAAAGAATCAAAGAAAAGTCTTCAGCCTAGGTTTAAAAGTAGTGAGAGTTGTGTTGGACATAGATGCACATATATTTGGAGCATAATAACTAAATGCTGCCTGGATTAGGGTTAGTGTTTAGTTTGGACACTGGGGACCAAAGCAGACCTGTCCCAGAAAACCTGAGACAGAACACTGAAACTGTTATTTCCATTCAAGGGGGTCATGTAATGCCCATTTACTGACCCATACTTGCATTTTGGTCTAATATTAGTTTAATATTAAAGTTGACTTGCATTAACATTATGTTTATCATTCTCTTTGCTGAATGCACCTATATTCACCCTCTGTGAGTCTTATTTAGCCCCTCTCTGATTGGCCTCCCAAGAGAAATGGCAAAAGACTAGAACTGTATGCATTAACTGCTGTTGACATGTAGCTTTCTATTTCAGGCTGTAAATAATTGATTGTAAAGACTTGAAATAACCTTGTTATCACTTTTTCTTCCTGTTCTGTTATGTGTGTATTGCAGCTGGACACCGAGGCAGCCGACATCCTGAATGACCTGCAGGTGAAGCTAAACACCTTCCTGGACAACTTCAGCATGGGATTTGCCAAGAGGTAACACATACACCCTCACACACACACACACACACACACACACACACACACACACACACACACACACACACACACACACACACACACACACGACGTGAATTTAGGTTTTCAGAGTGGTGGTCTGACCCCTGGCT